GCAGTCTGAAAGGTTGATTGGGACTGGAGGACCCATTTCTAAGGTAGTTAACTCACATGGCTATAGGCACAGCATTTCTGTTCCTTGCTGACTATTTTCAGGACAGATACATGGGTCCCTCCACAAGGCTGCCTGAGTATTCTCACAACATAGCAGCTGACTTTCCCCAAAGTGAGTGATCCAAGAGCAAGAGTGAGCAGGAAGCTGCAGTGTCTTTCTGACTTAGTCTCCAAAGTTGTACATCTTCACTTCTGCCTTTTTTTAATTCATTAAGCAAGTCACTAAGTCTAGCCCACACTCAAGGGAAGGCAGATTAGGCTTCAGTATCAAAGGGAGTGTCAAAGATTTATGGATATTATTTTAAACCAATACATCTGAATAATTCACTGTCTTTTTAAACAGTTTCTTCTTACACTTGTAGTAGTTAACTATGTGAAGCTAAACTTATTCTTTTGTTTATTGACCACAAGTTCATGAATTGTGTCTTTTTCATAAAGTGTCTTTTATTATGATATTGTGTTGCTTTGTGATCCTGTTTAGCAATTTAATCTTAAATTCCACTTTGTCTAGTACTAATATTTCCAGTCTTGCTTTCTCTTTGTTACATTTACCTTGATTTCAACCTCCTCATATGTACTTTTTTTCAGGTATATTTCTCACAAACAATACAAGAATACTTGAAAAAGGTCATGAAGAGATTCGTATTATCTTTTAATTCTATTTTTCCATGAATTTTTTTAAGTACCCTCGTATATACCTGAGTTTTGTGTTTTAACACACACTGGTAATCTTGGTATTTTAATGTGAGAATTTAATATAACAACAGGTATATTTGAAAAATTCCCTTCTATTCTACTTTACTACTTATTTCACTTTGTTTCATCCTTTTTCTTTTTGCTGTTTTGGTGAACTTTTCTTTTTTATTGTTGTTTTATTTGGATTTTTTACTGTGCTTTTCCATTCGCTAGTGGTTACCTTTTCATTCCTGACATTACTAACACGTAATGTGTGCATGTATGTATTTCTCAAGTAGCTATAACTTTGTTCTTCTACTATGACACTCTCTTTCTCCCAGTAAGATAACTATTTATTTTCACACTTTTCATGTCACTCTTTCAGATAAGATTTGTAAAGCGTTTTACTTTTCTCCCCTTACCTCCACTGCAAATCCTAGCTATTACTCATGCCTTATTTTTAGTTCTTGACTATTATTAGGTTTTCCTTCATAGTATGTTTCTTCTATTTCTGGAATTCTTGCTTAGTACTTAAATGTAAGTTTCATATTATCATATAATATATAATTTAATTATATATTGCAAATATATATTATATACTGCATTGTTCACATCTGTATTCTTTCCGCATGGTCTTTCCCTGGCTTGAGGAATTTTCCGTTACTGTTCTTCTTTAGTTAAAGATATTTTCTTGAGTGTTTTCCCCTATGGGGCATGTGGGTGCTATCTTCTCTGAATGCAAGCTCCTTGAATACAGGGACTTTGTATTGTTTAATTCTGTGTTGCTGGCACCGAAAACTGTTCCTTGTACATAACAAGCAATCAATGCATGTTTATCGTTTTTCTGGTATTAGATCACTACATATTTGCATATGTCTTTATTCCACCCTGAAGAACATTTATGTTGTTGGTGGTATTTGATCTCCTACACACCTGCAAATATTTTTCTATCATCCTGAGCAGTTAATGACATCTTGGCCAATATAGAATTTTTGCTTCTTAGTTTTTTTCTCTCTTTAATCTGTAGATTTTATTCTACCATCTCCTACCTCCCACTACTACAGATGAGAAGTCTGATGCTAGGCTGATTCTTTTCCCTTTATAACTTGTTCTTTCTGTCTGGCCTCTTCTAAGACTTTTACCAGGTAATAGGCATTTTTCCCACATCAATTGTGCATAGGAATCATGAGCTCTTTCAAACTTCAGACTAAAGTTTCTTTTTAATCATAGAAAATTCCCTCTCTTATTTTTGTAATTATTGCCTCTTCTCCATCTGTTCCTTTTTCCTGATTCTGGAATGCTTATTATTGGTGTATTAGGTCTCTTGGCTCTGAACTCTAGTCTCTTACTCATTCTTCATGATTTCCATCATTTTGCTTTTTGCTCTGTGTGAGAGATTTTTCATCTGCTTGCTCTTTCAGGTCAATAATGTATTTCCCAATCGTTCTTTCTTTTAGTTGGTGCTAATCCATTGATATTTTAATTTTTTTTTGGAGGGGGGGGTTGGGTGGCTGGCTGGATATTTTAAATTTGAATAGCATCTTTTAATGCCAAGAATTATTAACTTTTTGTTCTTTTATTTTATGCTCCTTTTATTATTATTATTATTTTATTTTATTTTATTTTATTTTGACCAGTAAGGGGATTGCAACCCTCGGCACGGTGTCGTCCGCACCACGCTCAGCCAGTGAGCGCACCGGCCATCCCTATACCCTATATAGGATCTGAACCCACGGCCTCAGCGCTACCAGTGCAGCACTCTCCCGAGTGTGCCATAGGGCCGGACTGGCCCTTCTTTTATTATTTTTAAAATGAAATTGTCCTCTGTTTTTTCCAGCAGTCCTGTTTCATTAGGGGCCATCCACTTTGGCAGATCTGGTTGATCTGCCTCTCTCTGGTTGCTGGATCATTTTAAGTACTAGTTTATTTCCATTTTCTATTTTCTGCTTAAGCTAGGTTAAGCCTTTCCATACCTGAAGGCACAACAGTTTCTGCTCCTGCATTAAGAGTGTGAAAGGGAGTGGGGGATAGGGAGAGATTGAATAAGGGGCAGAAAGAATAAGTACGATTTATAATAATATATATGCTAATAATATTGATTTGATCAACATACATCAACGTTAAACTCCCAAAATATGTATAATCAATTATGATTCACTTTAAAAAAAATTAAAATTAAAATTAGAAGAAAAAAGAGTGTGAAAGGAAGTTTCTATGTTCCTAGGTGCCCCTGAAAGCAAGTGTTTCTGTTCTCTTAGCTTCAGGGATGTGGAAGAAGTTCCCTTACACTTTTTCTAATAAGATCCAACATTTTATGCCCCACCCCCCCCCGACAGGATCATACTCATACTCTGAGGCAGAGTCATCCCCTTAATCAAGGTGTCCATGGGCTCCCACCTGCCTAGTTCTTTCATGTTCTCACCCCAGAGCTCTCTTCTGCTGCTCCTTCAGACCTGTACATCCCAACATCCCTCAGGCTCCTCCAGTTTACTCATCCCAGCCAGCTAAGGTTGGGGAAAGGAAGAGTATCAGAGATGCAGAATCCTTCCCCTTTTGATGAGCAATAGCCTATAATTTTGTAACTGGTTTGCTCTAAGCACAGTGTGCATAAGTTTGTGTGAAATAAAATATAAGAAAATGTAAAATAATAGAATCCTAAAATTAGATATAACATGGAGGTCGTAATAAAATAAATTTCTTAATTTATATAGTACTTTACAGTTTTCATGCAATTTTATACACGTAGTCTCATTTGAATTCCAAAATAGCCCTGTGTGGTAAGTATAGAAATTATCATCCCCATTGTACACATGGGGAAACTACAGCTCATAAAGGTTAAATACAACTTACCCAAGGACACATGGGTAATAAGTACAGCTGGACTAGAGAACTAATCTTTTTATTACATTGTGCCATGGCTTGTTTGTTTGTTCCCAGTTGCGTTCAGAGCATGTTACATTGCATAAATGATTTCTAGAATCCTTAAATTATTTGTTGTAACCTATTTCTATTATACTGATATGAACAATTTAAAATGTATATAAATAGTAGGATGTTGAGTATAAAGTAATAAGATTTTCTTATGTAGTTTGAAATCTTAACAAAAGAGGAGTTTGAAAATAGTTTGAAAAAGATTAAACTAGAATAAAAATATAAAATAGATTATAACTAGAATATGTGTATTATTTCCTGAAGATAGTTTTTTAAAAAAGTTTACATTACACAATGTAAACATTTTTTGTGGCCCTTTACCAATTTCTCCCTAACCCCTACTCCCCCTCCCCTTTCCCATCTTTGGCGGCCTCCGTTCCGCTCTCTCCTGATATAACTTTTTGAAGGAGGACATGCATTTCGATATATGAGTAGTTAAATTTTTCTCTTTATAATGAATTTTTAAAACATTTGAATTTATCTTACTATGCAGTAGAAATACAGCCATCCATTTCCCTATCAGGCATGACATTGAGAAAATGTAACAATGTTCCATATGTTTGCTTTGTCTTAGAGTTTCGTAGGGTAGGACTAATGAATTAATAGTTATTACAAAGACCAGACCTTTGTCCTGATTCCAGTTCCTTTTCATGCTAATGCTGTGTTTAAAAGTATCATCTTATACTCAGTAGTTGTTAAATATTTTGAATATCACTCCTATGACCTGGTCAGTGATCAGCCAGAATACATGCTGGCTATACACACCCGATGTGGCAGTCTCAGTGTGCACTGGTGGTATGTCAGCCCTGCTCACAGTCGCATCACATAGTACCTTCCACTTGCCTGGGTACTTTCATATCCATTCTCCCATATGATCTGGGGAGGGAGCAAACTGGGGGGATCACAGCCCAGAGAAGTTAAAGATAGGGCCCCTTAGTTAGACTGAAAGATTTCTGGCTCTTAGTTCAGTGTTCTTCCTTAGGTAGAAATCTCCCTCTTTTCAGGGGAGAAGGAAGAGATGAGAATAGCTATTTTTGACAGGACAATTATCAGCTCCTTTCAGAGAAGACTCCTAGAAGGTGGTGGGTAGAATAAGCAATCCCCATCTCCCCTAGAATCTTCCTGTCCCAAGCTAATTCTTCACTTCCTGGTGCCTTGCAGGAGGTGCCTGCCGCAGAAGAGTGAAACTGGCTCAAGCGAGTGAGCAGATTTCTCCCAGTAGAAGAACTGACTCAGCCTCTTCTCTACATATTCACAGGAACGTTTTGTACAAAACTGTACTTTAAAAGTACATTCTTTTAATTGCTTGTTTTTCTCCTTCTCTTCCTTCCACAGAATGGCCTCCCCTCAGGGAGCAACCCATATATTTTTAATGGTGATTTTGTAGATCGAGGAAATAATTCCATGGAGGTCCTAATGATCCTGTTCGTGAGTTTTCTTGTCTACCCCAATGACCTGCACTTGAACAGAGGGAACCATGAAGATTTTATGATGAATATGAGGTAACCTAGGCTTTTAGATTTCCTCTTTTGTTTCACACTCTGGAAGAAGCTGCCATGTTTAGTTCCTAGCAGAGAGTTAGAGGTCAGGGTAGAGAAGGACGGATGAGGGGAACCTCAAGGAAGACCTCAGTTCTCACCCCTGTTCACCACCCTCAATCTTCTACTGAGTATCATTTTCTCTGAAGCACCCTTCCCATCTTTTCTTCCTCCCATGCCCACCCTTCACAGGCTAAATTGTGTGTTGGGTAGATGTGTTAGGCCAGGCTTGGAGGTGTGGTAAGTTCTACGAGCAGACTGAGATGGAATCATTCTGTTCTACTCTTGGCCCACCTTGTGTATTGTCTCAGAAACTAGTACTGTGTTTTTCACTGATGTGTATATATTTTTTATGACATGGTAATTGCTTCTGGCATAGTTGTTCATAAACATATTTGAGAACAGCTGTAATATAACATTTAAACTATTTAAGTCACTGGAGATTTGAGGAATAAAGACTGGTTAAATGGTGTAAGAATTTTTGGGGCCGGCCCGGTGGCGCACTGCTACAGTGCGCTGCTTGGGAAGCGCGGTGGCGCTCCCGCCGAGGGTTCGGATCCCACATACCGACCGGTTCCCGCTCACTGGCTGAGCGAGGTGCGGGGGCAACACCGAGGGTTGCGATCCCGTTGCCGGTCCCGGTCCAGTACGGGCGCAACATGAGGGTTGCGATCCGTTGCCGGTCACGACAAAAGACAAAAAAGGAAAAAAAAAAAAAAATGGTGTAAGAATTTTTGCTGAAAGGCACAGTAGGTGACAAATGCTCCCTTTTCTCTTCTTTTTTTTTTTTCTTTTTCTTCATCTCTTATTTTATAAAAAACAAATCAGTTTGCTCTAGGGCAGTAGAAGATATGACATGTCTCACACTTTTGGTCCTGGGCTTTTGGGTACTTTGGTCAAAGCTCAGAAACTTAATTAGCTTTATCTGTTGGGCAGTTTTGGCACCTGGCCTGAGTACAGTTTCAATTCTATTTTTCAAGGTGTGGAAGCACATGCTAAGACTATGAAGAAAAAAATCCCAGGACTATTATCAGAGTTCCACTATAAATAATATAGCTCAATACTTTTATGTGGACATGGCTTTTATCCTTTGATTTATTCAGTTACTAATCATATTTATTTAGTGCCTGTAATGGTTAATAAGAGACATGGCTGCTGCCCTCATAGAGTTTACATCTAGCAAAGAAGACACATATTGAGCAAATTTTTCAGGTGTGATAAGTTTGTAAAGAGAGGATCAAACCTTGTCTGAAGGGTGACAGAAGGTTCTCCCATAGAAGTATGGCATTAACCTGAGACCGGAAAGATGAACTGGGCAATCAAGAGAAGGCCATGGTGGGGGGATGGGAAATAGTGTTCCACAGTGAGTGGACAACTTATGCAGAACATGAGACAAGACTTTTTAGACTTGGAAGAAGTTCAGGAGAGCAGGAGCATGGATTGAGAGAGAGGATGGTACCTGATAGGGCCAGATCCATAAGAAATGGTTGGATGGTGCAAAGGAATTTGGACTTTCTTCTAAGGACAACAGAATATCATTGAAGGGTAGTATATTAGGGTTCTCCAGAGAGACAGAATCAATAGGATATGTTATAATTATATGAGAGGGATTTATTAGGGGAGGTAGCTCACGTGGCTATGAAGAAAAGTCCTATGATAGGCCGTCTATAAACTGTATGCCAGTAGCGTGGCTCAGTCCAAGTCCAAAGGCCTCAAAACCAGGGAATGTGATCATGTCCTTGGTATAAGTCCTGGAACCCAAAAGCTGAAGAGTCTCGAGCTCTGATGTCCATGGACAGGAGAGAAGAGTGTATCCCAGGTCCAGCGGATCGGATCGAGAGAGAGACCTTCGCCTCTTTCCTCTGTCTTTTGTTCTCTCTGGACCCCCAGTGGATTGGATGGTTCCCACCCACACTGAGGGTGGGTCTTTCCCACCCAGGCCACTCAGACTCTCATACTAATCTCTGCTGGAAACACCCTCATGGACACACCTAAAAAGATTGCTTTACCAGGTTTCTCAGCATTCCTTTATCTAACCAAGTTGACATCTAGAATTAACATTCACAAGTAGCAAAGTTTTTGTTTTAAAATGCAGCAGGAAAAGTGATTTGGAGAGGGGCAAGAGTGGATACAGGAGGTCAGTTAGGAAGTAATTGAAGATGATGGGGTCTCACTTAGACTGGGGTGGTAGCGATGGAGATGCGAAGAAATAGATTCAAGAGGCGTTTAGGTAATGATAATTTAAGGCTCAGTAACTTGATATGTGGGGCTTGAAAGAAGAGGGAATCAAGGGTGACCTCCAAGTTCCTAGCCTAATTTTGGGAGTATAGCAGTGTCATTCACTGATACTGGGAACACAGAAAGAGGAGAAGGTTGTGATGAGGGAGAATGATGAGTTAATTTGGGTTAAGCTGATTTGAGGTGCTGTTGACTAGGCAGTTGAGTATATGTGTCCAGAGATCAGAAATGAAACGTGGCCTGGAGCATCGTCCTGTTGTATTGACAGTAGATAATAACTGAAGTCCTGGGCAGGGAGTAGATTGCTAAGGGAGAAAGTGAAGGGAAAATTGGACCTAGGGCAGAATCTGAAGGAACTCTGACGTTTAAGGCTAGGTAGAGGAGGAGAACTTGCAAAGGAGATTCAGAATAGCCAGAAAGATAGGAAAACCAACAAAGCTTCCTGTCACAGAATCCAGGAGGAGGAAAGTTTTCCAGAAAGACAATATAGTCAACTGTATTTAATGTTTCAAAGAGGGTGAGAAAGAAGAGAACTGCAAGGTATTCATTGGATTTAACAACATGGACACCTTTGGTGAGTACAGGACAGAATTCATCTCGGAAACCATAAAGCTAAACCGTAGAACCCTGACATGACACAATTTGCATGAACACCTGGAGTGAGTGACTTATGTTTCAACTTCACAGTGTTGGATATTAAGGGTACATATTATTATTCCTAAAGCAAGGACAAGTAATTGAAAACCATTTCCGTCATTAAATCTCCCTTAGCTACTGCTATTTAGGCATTAAAATTCCTGACAGTTGTTATTTAAACCCTCGATACTATTACATGTCCTGTATTAGAGAGAGCATAAAGAGCCAGCTTGTTGTTTTCTAAGCTTTTCTTTGCCTTTGTTCACCTTTTTCTTTTTTCCCATCATTTACTGTAAGACATTCTGTCTAAATGAAAAGGCTTCTCACGCACAGCTTCCCCCAGTTGCCACAGCAGACTTCTCTGAATACTTGAAGCATTTACACGACCTGAGCCTACCACATATTTCTTAAGTTGACTTGTAATTTTTTCGTGAAAATCTATCTTCTTTCCCCATCTATACTATAAGCTCCTTGAGGATAGGGATGATGTCACCGATTGCTTTTGTTCTTTCCCCTGCCTAGCAAAGACTTGGGTAGTAGTTAGCTCCAAATGAAGTCTACTTCCTTGAGTTCTTGGTACTTGTGATAGTGAGATGTCAAGGGCTCCCCTTTCTGCATGACTCATGTAAATAGGAGTTTTCAACAATTAATTAAATGGTTTAAATCCCATTTTTTTCAGGTATGGCTTCACGAGAGAAATTTTATGTAAATATAAGGTAAGACTCATACTTTTTTTTGGTATTTTCTTTAAAGCTGTTTATACATAGAAGTAAAAAAAAAAAAATAGAGCTAATGGAGACCAGGTTGATGCGTTAGGACAGGTGGTGGGCCAACTAGTCAGAATCCATGCTAATAAAATAAAAGCACAGCAGGAAGCCCTGGCCATAGCAGAGTCTTGTATTTTCTTTCTGGACTAAACCAAACTTTTTCAATGTGACTTTTGTGTAAGTTTCATCCTAGATTCAAACATACTCCAGTGCTTTAAAGTTGCCGGGGATTTGTTTTCCTCGGGTATGGTAAAATACACAGACACAGAAATCAGTCATGAAGGAAGAGTTTTTTATTCACAGTTCCCTAGAAACAGGAAGTACTGCATGCCACACTGGGGGGTACTACCTGGGAAGCACCAGAGTTGGTCAGAAGGCAGAGAAAGTGAGGGGGAAACAAGGGGAAGAGCCCTTATTGTGGATTTCTTAGGAGGGAACAGGCAAGGTGCCTCAGGATAATCAGGTTTTTGACTAGTTTGAATTTCAGCCTGCTTTGGGTCATAGGGGTTGTCCCTAGTTGTCTGGTACCTGGACCTGGGGCGATTAGTTCAAGGGAATAGTGGCCCTCAGTGCGAAAGCCCAATAAAGGAGGTGGTTAGGGTGTAGGCTTTGGGTTGGTTGATTTGCATATGAAAGGTGAGTCATTTACCATTTCTAGAAATTAGCTAGCCCTGGGAGGGGCAGTCTCTCCTTCAAGGGAGCAAGGCCCCAAGATGTCATATCAAAAAATACAGAATAAAAAGGCATGATTAATACATGCTAGTTGGTTAATAACTCCTGCTGACTTCCTTTGGGTGGCATGAAAACTGTTGCTTTTTGTCCATACGTTGGGACTAGTCAATAAACTAAACCTATCAAAAAAACAAAACTTACTCAAACTCCTACTTACAGCTACACGGAAAAAAAATCTTACAAATCTTGGAAGACCTCTATACCTGGCTCCCAATTGGTACGATCATTGACGATGAAATCCTGGTCATACATGGCGGAATATCAGAGTCCACAGACTTGAATTTACTCCACCATTTAGAAAGAAACAAAGTAAGAAGTAATATTGGCATGAATCTTGTTTCAGATATTATAAGGGAATATGTACCTCTTTTCATTTATTATTTTGAATTGATTTATGTTTTAGTGTTTGTTGTAACTCTGAAGAGATTAATACAAATTTTAAGAAAATCTGTGATTGCATGGTAAAGAATTAAATGGTAAATGTGATTGCCTGGTAAAGAATTAACTTCTATTTGAGGAAAATGTTTTTTAAAAAATTCATGTTGAGGGCCGGCCCGGTGGCACACTGGAGAGTGCGCCGCTTGGGAGCGCGGCGGCACTCCTGCCGAGGGTTCGGATCCCATGTGGAGACTGGTTCCCGCTCACTGGCTGAGCGCGGTGCGGGCGCAACACCAAGGGCTGCGATCCCGTTACTGGTCAGTAAAAAAGACAAAAAAGGAAAAAAAAACACTGGAGAGTGCGCCGCTTGGGAGCGCGGCGGCACTCCTGCCGAGGGTTCGGATCCCATGTGGAGACTGGTTCCCGCTCACTGGCTGAGCGCGGTGCAGGTGCAACACCGAGGGTTGCGATCCCGTTGCCGGTCCCCTGTACGGGCGCGACACTGAGGGTTGCGATCCCGTTACCGGTCAGTAAAAACAACAAAAAGGAAAAAAAAAAAAATTCATGTTGAAAGTGGAAAAATGAGGAAACGGCATTTCATTAAGTTTCTAAAAGTGAAAAGGCCTGATTTTTTTAAAATTAAAATCTCATCATTTATATTGTGGTAAAATATACCTAACATAAAATTTGCTACTATAACAATTCTTAAGTGTGTAGTTCAGTGGCATTAAGTGCATTCACATTGTTGTGTGACCATCACCACTATCACTACTGTTTACAGAACTTTTGGTTTTCCAGAACTTAAACTCTGTATCCATTAAACACTAACTTCCCATTTCCCCACCCCATGGCCCCTGACACCTACCATTCTACTTTCTGTCTCTATGAATTTGAATACTCTAAGTACCTCATATAAGTGGAATCATACAGCAATTTATTTCTGAATATATGATTTCCCTTATAATATACCTCAAAATGGCTCAAGATAATTTTTTTAGAAATATTTTAACCCTAAATACTCACATTGAATACAACAGAAGCAGAGCAGGAGCTTGTATAGAACTTCTGAGGGACTGATAATCAACTGCCAGCCAATCTGGGCAGGTGGGGTCTGGAGCTGGAATGTAATCTGATAAAGAAAAGCGACTCCTACTGCACCTTGAGTTTTGGGAGCCTTTATACCTCTATACACATATGAATGATAATATTGTTGCTAATGTCTTCTCGTCCTTTTAATTTGATCTTAAATACAACCTCCAGACTAGATCAGATCCCCTTTCATATGCTCTCAAGCCCCTCGTACAAGTCGAGCATTCCTAATCTGAAAATCCAAAATCCAAAATGCTCCAAAATCTGGAACTTTTCGAGTGCCCACCTGACACTTAAAGGAAATGCTCATTGGAACATTTTGGATTTCAGATTTTCAGATTAGGGATCTTCAACCAGTGTCTATTCAGCAAATATTCCAGAACCTGAAAAAACCGGAAACACTTCTGGTTGCAAGCATTTCAGACAAGGGATACTCAGCCTGCATGTACCCTTCATAACAGTTGCCAAAATTACCTAAGGAATTGTGGTACTGTTAGTTTACTATCTTCCTCTGCTTCTCTAGTTCACTGATAAAACCCCAGCAACTGAGTTGTAGTAAGTACTTAATATTTGTTGAATATCTCCTAAGAGATTTAAAACCAAAGCAGGACAAAATCTAAGACAAAACTGGATAGCAACTTTTTTACAACCCTCTCTTGATTCCATGGTTATTTTATATACTTCCCTCCCCCACCTCACTGAGTGATGACCATAGTTCCTGGTTTACACCTGTTGTGCTGGTATAATTATTAATAGTGCCTCTTTGTACTCTCTAAAATATTCCAGTTGCAAAAAATTTTAAGGCCACACTAAGTTTAAGGCACCATTCTCATGGTATCAGCAAATAGTCAAGCCAATAAGATGTTTGGATCAAGGGCCAGATGGTTTAGTGTTCTTCAAACTCCACAGCAGGGGGTGTGGGGAAGGATGGTTAATAGGACCCCCAGAAGAAAAAGATGGTGTATTACCTTAGCAGGGGCTAAGGCAATCTATCCCAATCCCTAGTGGCCTTGAAAACTACAGAGCTACAAATACATGAGAGACTATGTGGTGTTGACCTCTGTGCTTGTCAGAAGTGAGTTGTGTGCATCCAAGTCCAGAGGGCCCTCCCAGAATATTCTGCTCTTCCTAAGACCTGGGGACATTTGCTGGGGGAGACAAGGAGGGTAGGCTGTGAACTAGCTAATAATAGCTGAGATTGAATTTCCAACCAGCTCAGTGAGGAAGGACCTCAGAATAAGATTCAATTTTAGTTTTGAAAAATAAAGGTAAGATTTCATACACCCCCTAATTTGTACAAGAAACTAAGTGCCTACCACAGAGAATTGTCCATCACTGAACTATGGACACCAGTGTAACAGAAGTATTGTTTAAAATTTTTTGTATAAAGGTATGGTACTACAAAGACACCAGTATAAAATTGCAGTCTCAGGTTGTATAAGGGAACACAGAACGGATTATAGTAGTTGATATGCTATCAGAAAGACATTTTATTTTCCAAAGAAACGCAACAGCTTTGTTACTAGGATTATAGAACATAATCAATTGCCGGCAGGGTCAGGTTGAAAACTGCACTGCATTTAGGCTGAAGGGCTTCCAAAGTTTTCAACCTATGTCCCTTTGAGAACTTTCCTGGACACAGATGTACCTTTTCTCATTTCTCCTGGAAAACACAGCAAAATGAAAAGCAGCCACTCTCATAAGAGGTGTTTCTGAACTCGTCAAAGCATCATGAGATAAAGGCTCAGAGGGAGTCTAGTTTTCCTTACACTTATCATCTTCCATTTCCTGTACTGATGCCTCAGAACATGTCTAGAACCTACATCTGTGCCTCCTGGATCCCTTAGAAACTCTAATGGGAATCTCTTTGTAGGGCAGTGTCTCTAGTTGAAAATGTACAAACAGAACTTAACAGGCCCACTTTACAGACATCAGTGGATCAACAAGGTACAGGAGGTGGGTGAGATGGAAAAGGTGACCATGTGTTTTCCATTGGGTTGAGGCACCATATAGACAGAATCCCAACTGGTACTGAAGTTTCTGCATGCAGCACAATAAGCAGATTTGGCTAAAGCTTGAATTCATTTTGTAGATGAAGTCTGTGCTGATGCCACCAATGTCAGGAAATGGAAACCTTGCCACTGACTTGAAGAAAAATAAAGGAGGTGTACCTGTTGCTATGCATGGAAGACTGAAAGCAACTCAATCTTTTTCCGAACAGTTATCAAAGAATGAATGGGGACAGGTAGGTAATCAAAGTGTTCAGAATAGCAACAAAGACACCAGCATAGATGATGCTGTCCCTTATAATATATAGCTAAAAAGGTGACTTTACCTTTATAAGCAGACCATATTATTCTCTCTGAATTCATCACTATATTTTTAACAGCTCTGTTGGGATATAGTTCACATGCCTTATAACTCACTCATTTAAAGTATATAATTCAACAGTTTTTAGTATATTCACAGGATTATTCAGCTATCACCACAATCTAATTTCAGAATATTATCATCTCCCCAAAAAGAAACCCCATACCTATTAGCAGTCACTCCCCATTCCCTCTCTGCCCCTCCTCCCCTCAGCCTTAGGCAACCACTAATCTATCTTCTGTTTTTATAAATTTACCTATTCTGAACATTTCTATAGAAAGGTACACATATAATATATGATCTTTTGTGTCTGGCTTCTTTCACTCAACACAGTTTTCTTGAGTCTCATCCATGTTGTAGCATGTATCAGTACTTCATTTCCTTTTATTGCTGAATAATATTCCATTGTATTGATATACTACATTGTATTTATTCATTTTAAATGGATGGACATTTGGGTTCTTTGCACTTTTGGGAAGTTATGAATAATGCTTCTGTGAACATTTTTGGCAAGTTTTTGTGTACACATATGTTTTCATTTTTCTTGGGTATATACCTAGGAGTGGAATTGCTGGGTCATAAGGTAATTCTAAAGTTTAACATTTTGAGAAAGTTCCAAACTGTTTTCCCAAGTGGCTGCACCGTTTTACATTTCCACCAGCAATGTATGAAGGTTCCAGTTTCTTCACATCCTCATAAACACTTGTTATTGTCTGTCTTTTTAATTATAGCCATTTTAGAGGGTGTGAGGTGGAATCGCATTGTGCTTTTTTTTTTTTTTTGTCTTTTTTCGTGTCCGGCAACGGATCGCAACCCTCGGTGTTGCGCCCACAACTCGCTCAGCCAGTGAGCTGGAACCGGTCTGTATGTGGGATCCGAACCCTCGGCGGGAGCGCCGCCGCACTCCCAAGCGGCGTACTGTAGCAGTGCGCCACTGGGCCGGCCCGCATTGTGCTTTTAATTTGCATTTCCCTAATGACTAATGATGTCGAGCATCTTTTCATGTGCTTATTAGCCATTTGTAGATCTTCTGTGGAGAAGCATCTATTCAGATCCTTTTCTCATTTTAAAAATTGTAAGAGGTTTTTTTTTTTTTAAAAAAAAAAAAGATGACCGGTAAGGGGATCTCAACCCTTGGCTTGGTGTTGTCAGCACAACGCTCAGACAGTGAGCAAACTGGCCATCCCTATATAGGATCCGAACCCGGGGCCTTGGTGTTATCAGCACCACACTCTACCGAGTGAGCCACGGGCCGGCCTAAGAGGTTTTTTTTGTTTTTTTTTTTTTTATATTCTACATACAAATCCTTTATCAGATATATTACTTACAAATATTCTCTCCCATTATGTGGGTTGTCTTTTCCTTTCTTGATGGTGTCCTTTGCAGCACAACAGTTATTAATTTTGATGAAACCCAATCAAAATTATGTATTTTTCTCTTTGGTTGCTTATGTTTTTGGTGTTGTATCTAAGCCATTGTGTAACCCAAAGACATGAAAACTTATTACTATGTTTGTTCTCTTCTAAGAGTTATAGGTTTAGCTTTTACATTTAGGTGCCTGATCCATTTTGAGTTAATTTTTGTGTGTGTTCTGAGGTTTCTAAATTCATTCTATTTCATGTGGATATCCAGTTATCCCAGCAACATTAGTTAAAAAGACTATTCTCTCATTGAATTTTCTTGACATGCTTGTCAAAAAAAATCAATTGGCTATAAATATGAAGGTTTATTTCTAGACTCTTTTTTTTTTAAAAAAGATGACCGGTAAGGGGATCTCAACCCTTGGCTTGGTGTTATCAACACCACGCTCAGCCAGTGAGCTAACCGGCCATCCCTACATGGGATCCGAACCCGGGGCCTTGGTGTTATCAGCACCGCACTCTCCCGAGTTTTTTTTTTTAAAAAAGATGACCGGTAAGGGGATCTCAACCCTTGGCTTGGTGTTATCAACACCACGCTCAGCCAGTGAGCAAACCGGCCATCCCTCTATAGGATCCGAACCCGTGGCCTTGGTGTTATCAGCACCGCGCTCTCCCGAGTGAGCCACGGGCTGGCCCTATTTCTAGACTCTTAATTCTTTCACAATCTATATGTTTATACTTATGTCAATACTACATAATTTTGATTACTGTAGCTTTGTAGGAAGTTTTGAAATTGGAAAGGGTGAATTCTCCAACTTTGTTCTTTTTCGGGATTGTTTTGGCTATTCTGGGTCCCTTGAATTTCCATATGAATTTTAGGATCAGTTTGTTAATTTCTACCAAACAGTAGCTGGGATATTGGTAGGGATTGCCTTGAATCTGTAGATCAGTTTAGGTACTATTGCTATTTTAACAGTATTATATCTTCAATCTTGTGAGCATAGGATGTCTTTCCATTTATTTAGGTCTTTAATTTCAACAGTGTTTTATACTTTTCAGTGTACATATCTTGCACTTATTTTGTTAAATTTATTCCCAAGTATTTTTGATGCTATTATAAAAATAGAATTGTTTTCTTAATTACATTTTGCATCGTTCATTGCTAGTGTGTAGAAATACAACCAACTTTTATATGCTGACCTTGTGTTGTGAACTTTGATAAACTTGTTTATTAGTTCTAATAGTTTTTCGTCAGTTCCTTGAGATTTTCCATGTATGAGATCATGTTATCTGTGAATAGAGATAATTTTACTTCTTCCTTTCCAATCTGGCTGGCTTTTTTTTCTTTTTTCTTTTTTTCTTTTTGCTTAATTATCTTTTCTAGAACCTCCAGTACAATTGAATAAGAGTGGTAAGAGTAGAAATCCTTGGGCTGGCCCCATGGCGCACTGGAGAGTGCACTGCTTGGGAGCACGGCGGCGCTCCCGCCGAGGGGTCGGATCCCATGCGGAGACCAGTTCCCGCTCACTGGCTGAGCGCGGTGCCGGCGCAACACCGAGGGTTGCGATCCTGTTGCCGGTCCCCGGTATGGGCGTGACACCGAGGGTTGCGATCCTGTTACCGGTCAGTAAAAAAAGACAAAAAGGGGGAAAAAAAAAAAGAGTAGAAATCCTTGTCTGGTTCATATCAAGGGGAATAATTCAGTTTTTCATCATTAAGTATGATATTAGCTATGAATTTGTTTTTAGCTGCCCTTTATTAGGTTGAGGAAATTCCCTTCTGTACCTAGTCTGTTCAATGTTTTTATCATGAAAGAGTGTTGGATTTTGTCAAATGCTTTTTCTGCATATATTGAAATGATCATGTGGTTTTTGTCTTTATTCTATTGATATTGTTTATTACTTTGATTGATTTCAGATGTTAAACCAACCTTACATTCCTGGGATAAGTCCCACTTGGTTGCGGTGTATAATCCACTTTATATGTTGCTGAATTCAGTTTGCTAGTACTGCTAGTATTTTTTTGAGGATTTTTGCATCTGTATTCATAGGAGATATTGATCCATAGTCTTTTTTGTGATACCTTTGTCTGGTTTTGGTATGAGGGTAAGATTGGCCTCATAGGATGAATTAGGACGTATTATCTCCTCTTCTATGTTTTGGATGAGTTTGTGAAGGTTGATATTAATTCTTCCTCAAATGTTTGGTAGAATTCATCAGTGAAGCCATCTGGGCCTAGGCTTTTCTTTGTGGGAAGTTTTTAAATTATTAACTTTATCTTTTTTCTTGCTATGGTTGTGTTCAGATTTTCTATTTCTTCTTGAGTCAATAGTAATGTAATATTGATAATAATGTCCCCACTTTCATTCCTGATTTTAGTAATTTGAGTCCTCTCTCTTTTTTTCTTGGTCAGTCTCACTAAGGTTTGTCAATATTATTGATTTTTTCAAGAAACAACTTTTGTTTTGTTGATTTTCTCTATTCTTGTCCATTCTCCATTTATTTCTGCTCTAATCTTTATTATTTCCTTCCTTCTGCTTGTTTTAGGTTTAGTTGCTCTTCATTTTCTAGTTTCCTAAGGAAGAAGGTAATATCATTGATTTAAGACCTTTTTTATTTTTTAATAAAGCTATAAATTTTCTCTAAGTACTGCTTTAGCTCCATCCCATAAATTTTGCTATGTTGTGCTTTTGTTTTCATTCATGTCAAAGTATTTTCTTTCTTTCTTTCTTTTTATTGTAACATAGTTGATTGTACATTTCTGTGGGGTTCAGAGTTGAATATGTGATGCTCAAATCAGGATAATTAGTATATTCAACATTATACAATGTAATCATTTTTCATGGCCCTTTACCAATTCCTCCCTTATCCTTTCTCCCTCTCCCCCTTTCCCACCTCTGGTAACCTCAGTTCTCTTTTCTACTTTTGAAAGTTCAGTATGTTATTGTGATTGTTGTAGCTTTCTTTCTTATTTATTTATTTATTTTTCAGCTCCCACTTATGAGTGAGGACATGTGGTATTTCTCTTTCTCTGCCTGGCTTATTTCACTTAACATGATATTCTCTAAGTTCATCGATGTTGCTACAAATTACAGTATTTCATTCTTTTTTATGGCAGGGTAGTATTCCATTATGTATATATACCACATTTCCCTTATCCAGTCATCCAATGATGGACATTTAGGTTGGTTCCAACTCTTGGATATTGTAAATAGAGTTGTAATAAACATGGGGGTGCAGGTATCCCTTCGCATGTCAAAGTATTTCTAAATTCCCTTGTGATTTCTTCTTTAACCCATTGGTTATTTAAGAATATGTTGTTTAATATCTGTATATTTGTAAATTTCCCATATTTCTTACTCATTGATTTCTGATTTACTTTTATTGTGGTCAGAGAATACACACTTGCATGACTTAAATCTTTTTAAAACTTTTATGGTAAATCCTTTTAAAACTTATTGAGGCTTTCTTTGTGGCCTAGAGAATGCTGCATGTGCACTGGAGAAGACTGTGTA